AGACCTGATTTCTCAACGATGGAGCTGTTACTACTGAATCAGGTGAGGAGTTCCGGTCGTTGACCACTCTGTGAGAGAATCTAAATTCCACACCTATGTTACTCGACCTCGATTTGAACACCTTCTTGTGGTGACCTCGTCAATATATCCTACACCGAGAGAGATCTGAAAGGCCAATCCCTAAATCACCCTTCAATATACGGTATGCCAACATTAAGTCGCCTCTCCTTCAGTACGACAACGGGAAGAGATTTAAATGCTCCATCCTCTTATCATAAGGGAAGTGTCAGATGCCACTAAATAATATGGTTCCTCCCTCTGTACTCTTTCCAGGGTATGTGCATCCTTTTTGAAGCATGCACTCACCACTTGTATGCAGTATTCTAGATGAGGTCTGACATGTTGCATAGAGTACCTGGAACATACACTTGTCCTTAGAAGTGCCCATTGCATTGGATAAGCTGCTGCCCCATCACAATTTGTCTTCGTTTTTAAGTCATGGCTTTCAATACTTCCTAAGTCTTTTTATCCCTTAACATCTTGCAGTTCTGTATCCCCCAGGGAGTACGACGTTTAAGACCTCTGATCTAGGTACGTTACCGCGCTTTTCTTGGAACTAATTTCCAAACTCCAGAGGCTAGCCCATCCAGCTAATTTATCTAGATCATTTTGTAGTACCAACCTATCATCGTTATTATTTAGTTTTCCACATCTCAATATCGTCTGCAAATAATGAGGAAGATGAGGTAAGAATTTTCGGCAGTTCATATACGTATGATAGGAATAGCAGGGGGCCAAGTACAGTTCCCTGAGGCACTCCACTTAGTACTGCTTTCCGCCCTGACAGCACACCATTAACCCTTACTTTCTGCCTTCTATCCATCAGGTAGTCGCTAAACCACTCATAAGCGTTGGTCTAATCCAAAACGCTTGAGTTTACTAGAAAGACCTAAATGGGATACCTTATCGAATGCTTTACTAAGATCGATAAAGACAACGTCCAATAGATGGTTCTTATCCCTGGCTTGGACCCAATCTTCCCCAGCTAACAGTAAGTTTGTCAGGCAGGATCGTCCTGGTCGGAATCCGTGCTGTTCCACCTCCAGTAAGCCATGTTTCTCCATATGAGCTAAGAGCTGATCCCTTATGAGTGTTTCAAATACCTCTGCTATAACGCAGGTCAGACTTACAGGCTGGTAATTAGATACTAACTGCCTGTTCCCCTCTTTGAAGATGGGGCTTATAAGAGCATCTTTCCAGTTCCTGGGTAGCCTAGCCTGGGTTAGAGACATTTGAAAAATCACCGTAAGTGAAATGTATATTATATCCACCAAGGAGACTAGCAGTCTAGGGTGAACTCCGTCGGGTCCAAGTGATTTACCTGGCTTCATTTTAGACAGTATATTGAGAACCACTGCATCCTCTACCACAACTGGGGGCATTTTAGTGGCTACAGCAGCGACCTCGCTATACCCCTGAGTGGTACGACTAGACGAAAAGACATCGCAAAAGTATTCCGAGAGCTTCTCAGTTTTTCTTTCGTCTGACCCGGCCGGAGAGGCTCCAGTACTGCTTATCAGTGACGGTATACCTCTGCTAGTTTTAGTCCTATGTTTAATATACGAGTACAGTCTTTTTGGATAATGCACACAATCCAGTACTGACTGTCTCTCATACTCCATACGACTTTTGTCAATCATATACTTACAAAGGTTTCGAATTTTGCGGTATTCCATCCGAGACTCATCCCTCCTGGTCACAGTAAACCGGTCCCAATGGTTCTTTTGTTTTCTTAATAACCTCCTTATTTCATTACTAATCCAAGGTGGTTTATGCGATAGTTTTCGAGGCGTAGACCAAGGTACAAAAGGTGCAGTGACACAATCTACTGTATTTCTAAATCCCATCCAACCTTCCTCGACAGTCTGGTGTGCATCAACAGACCGATCAGGTACGGTTGATGCATCTCGGATTGCAGGTATATTCGCTTTCCAAATGTTTGAACGAGCACCTGTTGACCTATGCATGACAGCGTGAATCCTAAACGTAAAAGTGATAACTATGTGGTCACCACTGCCCAGCGGTGCCAGGTTTCCGAGGCCTGTCTTATGTGTACTCCATTTGTTTTTTCAGGGAGTACTTCACGAATGATGGAGCTAACTACCTCGACATTATCAGCATGTCGGGCTGTTGGATCTACTTTCTTTGATTCCTCCAAGTTCCAAATTACGACACTAATTTAAATCCGATGGTTTCGCAATATTATTAGTGTTTACCACCGTCGAAACCTTATCACTAAGCCCAGTCTTTTCCACTTTTATATAGTTCTTCAGCTTCCTGTTTTTTGACACTAACCAAATGGAATTAGTTACTTCCACTTTGCTCTCGCCGCAGCTGGAACCCATGTGTTCATCAGACACGCAACGCTTTGTCGTGATAGTATCACCCAGTGGTTTTACACTATCAGCACTGCTTACTCTTTTAGATTGTTGGAACTTTATGCATTGGTTCCAGATGATGGCTTTTTTCCTAATCCGAAATTTTTGTCAATTTTTTTGCACATAAGAAGTCCTACGGCCTCTTCGATGAGAACGTTCAACGGGCTGCTACAAAATTTGCACACCCACGGAGACGATGGCTTGCTGCATCTCCTATAGGCTGACAGTGATAAGCCAGTGCAAACTTTGTGCAACCATAGGTTGCAGTTATCACACTGCATTCCATCATCCATCGGAAAGTGGCAGTCCGGTCGTCCACAGCCATTAGTGAGACTCGTGTCGGTATAAATTGTTTAAATTAGACAAATATGTATACCGATATTTACTGGTATATATACATATACCATGCGTCCCGACAAATATCGCTCATCAGTTGCAGCTAGTTAACGCAGCTCAACCAATGGGTGTTTATGAAATGGCAAAAGTGACAAGGCAGATAATGACTTCGCATGTTGCTCCAGTGATGACGGAGTGCCAAGATTCCAAGAAGATCGAAGACCAGATTGAAGAGTTGAAACAGCAGGTGGCGGCTATGCAGATAAAGAAAAGACAAAACAACAGATGTTTTGCTTGCGGAGGAACCGGTCACTGGCAGAGAAACTGCCCGAAACGAAGGCAAAAAGAACTTTAAACGGTACAACCTTTCTTCTTTTTCTCGCTCGCGTTTGGAGGTGGTCGCATTAGTCGGAAGAGGTTCAGTGTACGGGAGATTACGGGTCAACCAAAAAGAACTAGTTTGTTTGATCGACACAGGGGCCGCAGTTTCGTTGATAGATAGAGAACAGTGTAAGGAAATAGGGCCGTGCACATTAGCAGTTCAGACGGTAGGAGGACATCCTTTGCACATTCTCGGCGTTTCAGACTGCGTTGTAGAGATTGGAGCAAAGAAAATACGATATCCGTTTATTGTAACTTCTGATATAAGACGAACGATTTCGGGGGCAGACTTTCAGAGAAGTAGGAGCTGTAATCGATATGAAGAATAGAAAAGTGGTCACAAAACACGGACAATTTGCGATACATGAGAATAGTGAAGTCGCTGAGGTGGAAACCACAACCATTGTTCCGCGAAATCACCACGAGATGCATCAACCGTACCTGATCGGTCTGTTGATGCACACCAGACTGTCGAGGAAGGTTGGATGGGATTTAGAAATACAGTAGATTGTGTCACTGCACCTTTTGTACCTTGGTCTACGCCTCGAAAACTATCGCATAAACCACCTTGGATTAGTAATGAAATAAGGAGGTTATTAAGAAAACAAAAGAACCATTGGGACCGGTTTACTGTGACCAGGAGGGATGAGTCTCGGATGGAATACCGCAAAATTCGAAACCTTTGTAAGTATATGATTGACAAAAGTCGTATGGAGTATGAGAGACAGTCAGTACTGGATTGTGTGCATTATCCAAAAAGACTGTACTCGTATATTAAACATAGGACTAAAACTAGCAGAGGTATACCGTCACTGATAAGCAGTACTGGAGCCTCTCCGGCCGGGTCAGACGAAAGAAAAACTGAGAAGCTCTCGGAATACTTTTGCGATGTCTTTTCGTCTAGTCGTACCACTCAGGGGTATAGCGAGGTCGCTGCTGTAGCCACTAAAATGCCCCCAGTTGTGGTAGAGGATGCAGTGGTTCTCAATATACTGTCTAAAATGAAGCCAGGTAAATCACTTGGACCCGACGGAGTTCACCCTAGACTGCTAGTCTCCTTGGTGGATATAATATACATTTCACTTACGGTGATTTTTCAAATGTCTCTAACCCAGGCTAGGCTACCCAGGAACTGGAAAGATGCTCTTATAAGCCCCATCTTCAAAGAGGGGAACAGGCAGTTAGTATCTAATTACCAGCCTGTAAGTCTGACCTGCGTTATAGCAGAGGTATTTGAAACACTCATAAGGGATCAGCTCTTAGCTCATATGGAGAAACATGGCTTACTGGAGGTGGAACAGCACGGATTCCGACCAGGACGATCCTGCCTGACAAACTTACTGTTAGCTGGGGAAGATTGGGTCCAAGCCAGGGATAAGAACCATCTATTGGACGTTGTCTTTATCGATCTTAGTAAAGCATTCGATAAGGTATCCCATTTAGGTCTTTCTAGTAAACTCAAGCGTTTTGGATTAGACCAACGCTTATGTGAGTGGTTTAGCGACTACCTGATGGATAGAAGGCAGAAAGTAAGGGTTAATGGTGTGCTGTCAGGGCGGAAAGCAGTACTAAGTGGAGTGCCTCAGGGAACTGTACTTGGCCCCCTGCTATTCCTATCATACGTATATGAACTGCCGAAAATTCTTACCTCATCTTCCTCATTATTTGCAGACGATATTGAGATGTGGAAAACTAAATAATAACGATGATAGGTTGGTACTACAAAATGATCTAGATAAATTAGCTGGATGGGCTAGCCTCTGGAGTTTGGAAATTAGTTCCAAGAAAAGCGCGGTAACGTACCTAGATCAGAGGTCTTAAACGTCGTACTCCCTGGGGGATACAGAACTGCAAGATGTTAAGGGATAAAAAGACTTAGGAAGTATTGAAAGCCATGACTTAAAAACGAAGACAAATTGTGATGGGGCAGCAGCTTATCCAATGCAATGGGCACTTCTAAGGACAAGTGTATGTTCCAGGTACTCTATGCAACATGTCAGACCTCATCTAGAATACTGCATACAAGTGGTGAGTGCATGCTTCAAAAAGGATGCACATACCCTGGAAAGAGTACAGAGGGAGGAACCATATTATTTAGTGGCATCTGACACTTCCCTTATGATAAGAGGATGGAGCATTTAAATCTCTTCCCGTTGTCGTACTGAAGGAGAGGCGACTTAATGTTGGCATACCGTATATTGAAGGGTGATTTAGGGATTGGCCTTTCAGATCTCTCTCGGTGTAGGATATATTGACGAGGTCACCACAAGAAGGTGTTCAAATCGAGGTCGAGTAACATAGGTGTGGAATTTAGATTCTCTCACAGAGTGGTCAACGACCGGAACTCCTCACCTGATTCAGTAGTAACAGCTCCATCGTTGAGAAATCAGGTCTCTGCAGAGATATGTATCGCAAGGATTAACAAGGGCAACAAGAGCCTTTCATGCCTATAATTTGTATCAGTCTTCGTATGGAAAATCCTGTCTTAGGTGAGAAGTGTGATATCGGGTTCTGAAGCAGCTTTCTGAATATGTGTTAACTTTTAGTAAGTTGAATAAGAACGTATCACTTAGTTTCACCTTCTAACAGCATTAATGGTATCTCAGTACAGTGTAATAATGCCGAAATAGCCATCCTTATTTTTATATTAGTTTTATACTGAATATCTTTTCCGAAGCAATCTAGTTATTCATATCTCTAGGATGATTAAGCCCGCCAGGAATCGCCATAGGAAAATTCTTTCACATACGTTAAAGTGAAAATAATCATGCTAAGGTGTGGCAATTATTTCTGAATAAACTAACGTGTGTCAGCACTGAATTTTTTTAATTCCTGACAGCGCTGACAACTTCGAAAAGTCCCAGTTTGTCATTATCCCTGTGATAATTTGCAGTTTGATCTGAGCATTATTTCCTCCGGTGTTTGTTTAGATGTAAAACCAGGTAGGTGCGTTTAGCTTTTAACTTTTCGACTACATGTGTTACATGTCTTAGCCTACTAGTCAACCAAAACTCCGC